CAATTTCAACGAACAATCAGCGAAAGTCGAGCGAAAAACATTGGAGCGAACATTTGTTGATGGGACTTTACAGCTAGAGGTAAACAAGAGTCGTACTTTGGGCTTCGGAAAACGCATACCATTTGGCACACTTCCTCTAGTTTATAATCTATGTTTTATAGGTTTTTACAGCTTTCTGAAAGATAGTTTTAGGTTCAAGTACTTCCAGAAGTACTTCCCGAAGTTCAAGTACTTCCAGAAGTACTTCCCGAAGTTCAAGTACTTCCCGAAGTTCAAGTACTTCCCGAAGTTCAAGTACTTCCCGAAGTTCAAGTACTTCCCGAAGTTCAAGAGTACTTCCCGAAGTTCAAGAGTACTTCCCGAAGTTCAAGAGTACTTCCCGAAGTTCAAGAGTACTTCCCGAAGTTCAAGAGTACTTCCCGAAGTTCAAGAGTACTTCCCGAAGTTCAAGAGTACTTCCCGAAGTTCAAGAGTACTTCCCGAAGTTCAAGAGTACTTCCCGAAGTTCAAGAGTACTTCCAGAAGTTCAAGTGTACTTCCAGAAGTTCAAGAGTACTTCCAGAAGTTCAAGAGTACTTCCAGAAGTTCAAGAGTACTTCCAGAAGTTCAAGAGTACTTCCAGAAGTTCAAGAGTACTTCCAGAAGTTCAAGAGTACTTCCAGAAGTTCAAGAGTACTTCCAGAAGTTCAAGAGTACTTCCAGAAGTTCTAGTACTTCCAGAAGTTCTAGTACTTCCAGAAGTTCAAGTGCTTCCAGAAGTTCAAGTGCTTCCAGAAGTTCAAGTGCTTCCAGAAGTTCAAGAGTACTTCCAGAAGTTCAAGAGTACTTCCAGAAGTTCAAGAGTACTTCCAGAAGTTCAAGAGTACTTCCAGAAGTTCAAGAGTACTTCCAGAAGTTCAAGTGCTTCCAGAAGTTCAAGAGTACTTCCAGAAGTTCAAGTGCTTCCAGAAGTTCAAGAGTACTTCCAGAGGTTCAAGCGTACTTCCAGAAGTTCAAGTACTTCCAGAAGTTCAAGAGTACTTCCAGAGGTTCAAGTACTTCAACTTTGGATTATTTTATTGAAATTTTATTTAAATTAAACGAATCCTTATCTTAATTAAACAACTGACAATTGCATAAAGAATTCAAGAATATTTAAGCTCTTGTAACTAACTTTTGTAACTTTAACTCTTTTAGGAGGCGACAACAAACGCTGCTTATGACGTGGTGCTCCAATCGAGCGTCGAAGGAGGAAAATTCCAGACAACAAGCGGGAAATCAGTGGATACGGTAGGGTTTTCGCAACTTAGAATCTTTTTTTTTGATTCAAGATGACTCCTGCAAGCTGGCCTCATTTAAACACTCCACTTTATCCATCAAGAGTCCCCACATTGGAGCAAGAGTTCACAATGGAATGGGTTGATCAAGGAGATACAAAGGAGATTCTCTTCAAGGTTTGCCAAAGAATTAAACGTAATTTGTACTGTATAGTAGACAGTATTCAATCAAGATAAAATTGATCCATTAAAAACTTTGATCCAATCTAAATAAATCCAATCAATCATTAAAAAGATCCAATCTAAATCTGACCGATTCGCAAGTTGACAACCAGATCCGAAACTTACCTATGACTTGCATCACTAGACATGGTATGAATCTTTAATGCTAAAGCATCTTTAAATATAAACCAGATGGTTTTTTATCTAGTTAATCAAAATTGTGGACATAACCCTAATTTGGTCTATAACATAAGACTTTGAGTAATAAAAAATCTAAGAGCGAAGCAGACTGTCTGGAAATTTTGCCCGGACTCGTTAAGCAGGTGATCCTCCAGGGCTGTGATCCTCCAGGGAAGATGATTTAATATTTTAATACTTGATAAACTATTGATAAACCAATTTACTTTAATCATTTCTACAGAAAACCATCAAAAACCTTCTGCTACTACACCTAAATTGCGATAATTTTGTCTGTAATAGAAGAACTTTAGAGGAACCAAATAGGAACTATAAAGGAACTTTAAAGGAACCAAATAGGAACTATAAAGGAACATTAAAGGAACTTTAAAGGAACCAAATAGGAACTATAAAGGAACCATAAAGGAACTTTCAAGCACCAAATAGGAACTATAAAGGAACTATAAAGGAACTTTAAAGGAACCAAATAGGAACTATAAAGGAGCCATATAAAGGAACTATAAAGGACCATTAAAGAAACCAAATAACATAAAGCTAATTTGGTCTTTTCAGGGTCTATCCGGTCATCTAACCGGCGGTGAGGGTCGTCCTGGTGTCATCTTCGACAAAACTAGAAACATTATTTCAATCAATGTGAGATTTTGAGTGATTTTAACTAAAAATAAAAATTCTAGAATGGCATCTATCTATATGTCGTAGCCGATTATGAATGAAATTGTTTTGGCAAATCTTTCTAGTAGAGCAACCCTTTAATTATATGAGGACAATATTATATCATCTTGTAGCGAATTCAATTCTGCGTCGATTGGTACCAAATTTGTGAGTTTAGGTTAAAAATTGCCGGCGCTACAACGTTTCATTCAAAATCGGCGGGACGTCTGTGACCGATTATGAATTTCAGCCGATTATGAATGAGTGGGTCTAGGAGCGTCCAACCATCAAGCATTTAGTATCATTCAACGCAGAATCATTAATAATTATGCTAAATTTTTTAAATTAGAAAGATTGGATAAAAAGAAAAAAAATTATGCGGCTTCAAAGTTTTCTCTTGAACAAACAGTTTTTTTGCTCTAATATTTTTTCTTTTTATCCAATCTTTCTAATTTAAAAAATTTAGCATAATTATTAATGATTCTGCGTTGAATGATACTAAATACTTGATGGTTGGACGCTCCTAGACCCACTCATTCATAATCGGCTACGGACGTCCCGCCGATTTTGAATGAAACGTTGTAGCGCCGGCAATTTTTAACCTAAACTCACAAATTTGGCAACAATAGACGCAGAATTGAATTCGCTACAAGATGATATAATATTGTCCTCATACATTAAAGGGTTGCTCTACTAGAAAGATTTGCCAAAACAATTTCATTCATAATCAGCTACTTTTTCAGCTACTCCTATCTCGTCCAGACGGTTCATTCTTCATCTCAACCGATCAAGAGTTGATCATGATTGTGGCTCAATCGGATAGTAATGGAGAGCCAATAAAGGTGAGAAATGAAGATAAGACTGATTTTTTTTTGTAATTCTTGATAAATCCCTTTTCAGAGCACTCTTGAAGCAATTATTTTCAAAAATGGAGCAAAATTACCGACTGGTTGGTGGCATTCGGTTCCTTTCCCTCGACCAAATCAACAGAAAATTCATCTATATGAAAAAGTGAGTCTTTTTTTATAATTATCTTCATCAGATCAATAGAAAATAAGCTATTATACATGATTTTTGAAAATTCCCAAAACTCTGCTAAACAAAAATGGCAGTTGGTTGGCAGTTGGCAGTTGGCAGTTTCCAGTTGGTCAAGTCAATTCAGTTCTCAGTTTAGTTCCTTGTTTCCGAGTTTATCTAAAAGGTTGAACCGATTAAAGTTGAGTTACAATTGATATACTTAATAATTAAATATCTCCAATCGATTCGCCGACCTCGAAAACCCTCGATCCAAATTTACAGCTGAATATCTTTTTTGTATCATCAATAAAGCAAGAGAAATCCTTATGTAAATGGCGAGGTGTTCTCTTTGCGGCCGCGTAATCATTCACAACCTGGCAAACCAGTCGGGTATAAAGTGCTTCCCTTTTGAACAACTTCTTTACTGCATCTGTAGCTTTTGAGAGATCAGGAGAACCGGGAAAGGTTGGATTTAGCAGGTCAACAAGAACAAGAACAACAAGGTCAACAATTTCGCGAGTAATGGAGCCAAAGGAAAACATTAAATCTTATGAGCTGAAAAAAAAGACTTTAAAAAGCTGAAAGCAAACATTTTAAGAACTCTAAAAAATGTTTTGCGAAACTTTTACAAAAAAGGCAATAGTGCGGGGAGAGGAATCGAACCTGGGAAGAAAAATGGAGTTAGATTGGTAGACTAACACACTATCCTCTAGACCACCGATGCCTTTATTCCTTGGAATGGAATGGTATCTAAATCAAGAACTGGATTAGCCAGTTAAGGGTTAAATTCGTTTGTGAATTGTTTCCTGAAGTATTCCCTTTAAAAAGATACTTAACTCACTTTGGAGTAAAGGCAATCAAGTGCGTTGTGGTGTAGCGGTTAGCACAGTTGCCCAGTAAGCGAAAGGTCGCGGGTTCGAGTCCCGGCGGGGCAGAAGCTTTTGTTTTTTCTAGTTCTAACTTTATATTAAAAGTTCGCATTAATTTAATAGACTTTCAAATGAAATATCGAAGTTTAAGATAATAAATGATTCAAGATATCTTCCACTTTAAGATGATAAATGATCGCTAGATCGCTAGATCGCTAGATCGCTAGATAGCTAGATAGCTAGATAGCTAGATAGCTAGATAGCTAGATAGCTAGATAGCTAGATAGCTAGATCTCTACATCTCTAGATCTCTACATCTCTAGATCTCTACATCTCTAGATCTCTACATCTCTAGATCTCTACATCTCTAGATCTCTACATCTCTAGATCTCTACATCTCTAGATCTCTACCTCTCTAGATCTCTACACTCTCTAGATCTCTACATCTCTAGATCGCTTTCTAGATCTTTTAAATGAAATATCGAACTTTCAGATGATAAAAGATTCTAGATCGCTTCCACTGATGCAAATATCGTTTTAAATGTGCTCGAGGAAGCCGGTGCTCCGCTTGTTATTCAACTTTGAAAAACAAAAAACGAGAAAATACAATTTTAAATCAAAAAAGAAATTGATTGCTTCAAATAAATGGTTGTTTTTTAAAGAAAAAGAAACATTTACAAAGAGTCATCAAAGAATTCAAACACATCAATTCATTCATTGCCTTTTGGAGAACTCTTTTCCCCCCAATTTCTCTTTGATTTCTTCCGCTGTTCTTTGTTTCTTCAAAATGATGCTGAAAATTTTGATTCTTCTCGGTTCTTTTGCATCAATTTATTCGATTTTTGGTAGAAAAACACTTTTTTTTTGCTTTTTAAGTAAAAGATTTTAGAAAAACCTATTGAAAAATTCTCAAAAGAATGCGCTTTTTGTTCGGAGATACCAATTTTGAGGTGAGTTTGTTGGGATCTATTTGGGCGATGAAAACAGCTCAAAAAGATTGACTTATTCTTAGCAACAAATAGCTATTCTACAGGGGGAAAGCCAGCCTGAAGGTTACTGTAGAATACTGTGAAAAAATAGAGTCAGTCTGTCAATTTTCTCAGAGTTAGATCAAGCCAGATTTCAAGTTGCATTTCAAAAGAACGCAACGAATCAACTCTGACTTTGACCTGGAAGTTTTGGCTTACTAGGGATCCTTTTAGCTTGTGATCTAGCACATTTTGTGCAGTTTTTTGCGCTGAATCCGATCGTGTAAATCGTTTGGAGATCACGGGTCTAAAGTTTCGAGATATTTAGCTTCAAAGTTTACACTAAATACTCGATCGCGATTTTGACCACGCAGCGTCATATCGACTTTACAGCAAACTCGAAACACGAGCTCGTGGACTAGTGGATAGTTTCATACGGTTCCAATACGTATTGGAATAAAATTGGAACCGTATTGGTATAAAATAGGAACCATATTGATTCTATCCACTGGAAGGTTCCAATACGGTTCCAATACGATTTCAATACGTATTGGAATAAAATTAGAAGCGTATTTGAACGGTATTGGCATAAAATAGGAACCATATTGATTCTATCCACTGGAAGGTTCCAATACTGTTCCAATTCGGTTCCTATTTTCTTCCAATATGATTCCAATACGGTTCCTATTTTCTTCCAATACGGCTCTTATTTTATTCCAAACTATCCGGATAGTTTCCAGTTCTAGACTTGTAAACATTTGTCCCAACCACGGATCCGTCATAGGCTCAACTTTTTGCTTTTACCATTCGATAAACTAGTTAGACGTATCCCGCTGCACTCCAGTTTAAAATTAGACTTCAGTTCCACATTTTAGCAGCCAATTGTGTTAAAGAAGATGCTAAAGTCTAATGTCAAAGTTTGCATAGAGTTACTGTAGTGAAGTGAAGGAATTGACAAAGAAAAAGGAGATTTCCGGAGACAGGATTGAACCCTCGACCTTTTGCTTTCCTTTTGCCTGCTTTTCAATAGCTCTGATCTATTGGGTACATTGAGAAAGAGAAAGAAGGAAAGACAAAGGCGAAGAAGAGAGGAAGGAAAGAAGAAAGAAAGGAAGAAAGGAAGGAAGGAAGAAAGGAAGGAAGAAAAAAAGACTAACTTTGATAGCAAAGATTGAGCTGTCGCTGAATCTTGATAAAGTGAAATATCTTGATGATCAATGAAAGCATAAAGTAAATACTGTCTGCAGAAGTAGAAATATCAAATCAAGCTGCTGTGAAAGTTTTCCCGGTTTAGTGATGACGGGACGACAACAGGGATCATCGATCACACGAGAGATTTCGATGGATGTCACGTTGTCTCTTTCATGTGTACAAATCATTTCTCACCGAGACAGGTAAATTAAAAATATGATTTGAAAAAAAAGGTTCCTAATTGAGGCATTCCTCTATCTGAACCATCGCCTTTTAAATCGTCGATCAACAATTTCAGCGATTTGTCGAAGTGATGGATGGTTTGTGAGAGGAATTTCTAAGGTGATTCAACAAAAATGAATTTAACTTTTTAAATTTAAAAGCTAGAGTGCTATTTATTGCTTTAAAATATTGATATAACTATTTTGAGAAATGGGATTTATATTTTAAATCTCTCAACATCTCGACAAATCTCTTAACCAAGAAGGTGAGTGACTGGCTTAGTCTTAGTGTCAAAAGAAAATGAATTTGATTAACACAAAGTACAGGCAAGTACAAGCCATAAACTCCTAGGCTTTGGCTATTCTAAGAACTTACTTTCACCCATTTCAACCCCATTTCAACTAAACAATTTGAGAACTCATTTTTATTTCCTGGTTTGTCAGCAATCAAAGTAACTGGAATTGTTAGTAGCTGACATTGTTAGTGACTGGGATTGTTAGTGACTGGCATTAATGACTGGCATTGTTAGTAGCTGGCATTGTTAGTGACTGGCATTGTTATTAACTGGGATTGTTAGTAACTGGGATTGTTAGTGACTGGCATTAGTGACTGGCATTGTTAGTAGCTGGCATTGTTAGTAACTGGCATTGTTAGTGACTGGCATTAATGACTGGCATTGTTAGTAGCTGGCATTGTTAGTAACTGGGATTGTTAGTAAATGGCATTGTTAGTGACTGGCATTAATGACTGGCATTGTTAGTAGCTGGCATTGTTAGTGACTGGGATTGTTAGTAACTGGGATTGTTAGTAACTGGGATTGTTAGTAACTGGCATTGTTAGTAACTGGCATGGTTAGTAACTGGCATTGTTAGTGACTGGCATTAGTGACTGGCATTGTTAGTAGCTGGCATTGTTAGTGACTGGAATTGTTAGTGATTGATAGTATTCTTTTGATTAACTAATACTAATGAAGAAATATTCTTGTACATTTTAATGTTAAAAACTTTGTATTTCAATGTTCCTATCGTTCTAGCAAGAGCCGATCGAATCAATCTTCTGCTCATCACAAGCGTTGTAGATTGGAAATGGAAACACGAATCATTCTACTGAATAAATGAATTCTTGTTGAATGAATTCTTATTTTCGAAATTAGTTGAGAGTGAAAAATTAACAATATTTGATGAAAGCAATGAATCAACTCTGACTTTGACATGGAAGTTTTGGCTTACTAGAGATCCTTTTAGCTTGTGATCTAGCACATTTTGTGCAGTTTTTTGCGCTGAATCTGATGGTGCAAATCGTTTGGAGATCACGGGTCTAAAGTTTCAACATATTTAGCTTCAAAGTAAACACTAAATACTCGATCACGATTTCGACCATGCAGCGTCATCTCGACTTTACAGCGAACTCGAAACACGAGCTCGTGGACTAGTGGATAGTTCCATACGGTTCCAATACGTATTGGAATAAAATTGGAACCGTATTAGAATCGTATTGGCATAAAATAGGAACCATATTGATTCTATCGACTGAAAGGTTCCAATACGGTTCCTATTTTCTTCCAATACGGCTCTTATTTTATTTCAAACTATCCGGATAGTTTCTATTGGGTTGGGGAGAATGAGTCGGCGCCCAACTTTAAAGGGACTTTTTGCACACATAAAGCCTTCTTTAAACATACATTTGGTTTCATCAAAAGGATCCACTATTTCTCTACAAAATGACTTTTGAGAGATTCCACAAAGCTTTTCTTTCGTGGAGTTTATGAACCTCCAAACGCAGCTGGTTAAAATGGCAAAGAGTCCGACTCATCATTTGAACAGTTTCTTTCACATAAACCTTCTTTGGTGTTTATATAAAAAAGATAGAGCACATTCAATTACTTAAGTTACCAAATTTGCAGGAAGATCCCACCAATGGTTTTTTCTAGATCACAGTTTGTAGTTTTTGTGAAAAAATGGCTTTTTCTTGAGCGGAGGCGCTGTTTGAATTTTCTTTTAAATGTGATTTTGTAGAGAATTAGTTAACCATTCTACTGATATCAAACGCATATTATTTGAAGAAGTCGAATAGAAGTTTTAGACATTTTTTTGATTTTCGGCGCCGACTCATTCTCCCCAACCCAATAGTTCTAGACTTGTAAACATCGTCTGGAGATCACGGGTCTAAATTTATTGGTATTTGTCAGAAAAGATGTTTTTATGCTCAAAAACAAAGCACATCCAACTTTTCGCTTTTCTCAAATGAACAGCAATGAACAGGCAGCAACAGCAAGCAACAGCAACAGCAACAGCAATGAACTATTTGCTAATTAAACGTGTAACTTGGTAGTTTTATATAAATAAATACTTTTAGAAAAGAGAAACAAACTCTATTTGAAAATAGAAAGTTAAGAAATCGTTTTTGAAATGAAAACCGGAAATAATATTCTATAAAATTCAGAATATTATTGTGTTTTGATGTCCAAATCAATGTTCAAAGAGAAAAGAAAAAAAAAAAACGCTATTCACATCTGTTTATTTTTGCAAAACAAAAAGGAACTGAGAGGGAAAATGGAGATTTTAAGAGAATTACGAAATGGATTAAGAGAAAAAAAGAGGGAAATGGAAAAGGAAATGGACGATCATTTCCAGGAGAACCCATCTTTTTCCCTTTTTTTTTTCAATAGACTCATTTCGAGTCAATCTAAATGTTGTGGGTAGACATCTCCTCTTCTTTTTGTCTTTTTTCAAATAGCTTTTTTTGCTTTAAATGGCTTTAAATAGTTCCTAATAGCTTTAAAAACTCCTTTTTGAAGCCAGAAGAAGTCAAAGCTTATTTTGAAGCCATAGTTATGCTTCAGTAAGTTGAGTAAACTGATTTAGTAAACTTCGAAACTTCGAGACTCTTACTTGAATTCTAAACTTGCAAGACTGAAACTTCAGCCAGTTATTGGTGTTGGTGTTAAATCACTTCAACCTGGAATATGGGTTTTGGGATTAGTTGAGCCACCAGCAGGGTTATTCCTAAGGGATTTCTCCGGGCTAGGCAAGGCCAGACTCAAGTCAAGGCCAGGCTCAGATCAAGGCCAAGGTAGAGCAAGGCCAGGATCGGGCTAAAAGCAGGGTAGGGTCAGGGCAGGGTTAGGTCTAGATTACGGCGGCCCTAAGGCCTATTTTTGACCCAGCCTCAGTCAGGCTTTGCCTAGCTTCTAGCTCTAGGATCTAGTTGAAACATACTTGTCCACTTGAAAGTGAAAGGCCATTATAGAGTGTAAAAAGACAAACGATCTGCTCCAAAGCCATCCAATGATAACTTGAAAGAATTGCTTTAAAAGTATAAGTGAATTTGCTTAACTTTTCACAAACTCAAGCTCTCTTTCTTTTCGCGGACACTTTGCCACTTTCGCAGACACTTTTTTTTTGGTTCAACAGGCACGTCTCTTTTCTAGACTCATTTCGAGTCAATCTAAATGTTTCCATTCAGACATTCATTGCGTTTTTCTCGTTTTAAATTCAGTTTTTATCGTAAATTGTTTAAATTGATCAATTCTTTGCATCAAAAAAGCTTCTTTTTTTAAAAATTAGCACTTGAAATAAGATAAATAACAATGCCAAATTTTCAACAAAACAATTTTCTTTTGTTTCCAGGTTCATTCTTGATTATTTTCATTGCAAATTGGCAACAAACTTAATGGCTTTTCGTTAATTATATTCTATTTTTTTTAGCTTTCATGTGAAAGATCTCACGTGCTTGTGTGTCTCCGATAATCAAATTAGTCATGACGAATAAACTCGGTTATTTTCTTGAGAAAAGCTATGAGTTAAGAGGAGAGAGAGCAAGAAAACTAAATGGATTTTAGAAGAAAAAAAAGTTAGTGTTTGTTTAATTTTTGATATGATTTTAAGCAATATTGTACTTATAGTTAGAGTTTTTTTTTTCGATCTAAAAGTTTAGATCAATTAAATCCTAATTTTAATTAACCCATTCGAAACCGAAGCGTTTTTTCTTTTTTTTCGTCTGCGGACCAAGCCCTTTTTTGACATTTTTGACTCCGAAGCAGTTTATCCAGATGGTTGGAAAGGTTTAAGAGAGTCTCCTACACCATTTATTTTTGATGAAGAACGATTTGGATTTGACTTCAACACTTTTCAAGATCCTATCGATTATTATTCTTATTTTATCGACGACAAATTAATCAATATGTTAGTAGGCGAATCTAATAAACATGGAAAAAGGAAAACAAACTGGCAGGATTTCGATGCAAAATCTTTCAAGCTCTTCCTGGCTTTGTATCTTCAAATGGGAATCGTCAAATTACCGAGGATTCGTGACTACTGGAGTAGCTACTGGAGTAGCAGGCCTGGATTAGGAGGATTTTCCCACATGTCCCACATTTTGTCAAGAGCAAAATTTGAATCTATTCTTCGAAACCTGCGCTTTTGTGATAATGAACTGGATCCTGCAGAAGATCGGCTTTAGAAGATTAGAGCTATTATGGAACATTTCAATGCAAAACCAGAGGCTGTATTGATTCCGGGTAAATATGAAACATCTTTTTTTGCCCACGTAATTTGTAGATCTGTTACAATTGGAATATACATGTAATGCTGAAAAACAGCAAAAAAAACCAATTAATTGAATGAAAATAGCTCAATTAGCGCTGCAGCGAATAATCGCTGCAGCGGTCCGTTCCTGAGTTTTTGCTGCAGCGATTATTCGCTGCAGAAGTTTCGAATGGGTTAATCTAATGAATAGCTTCAAAAATTTGACGTGAAAACTTGTAACCAAAGGCATTCTGGCATAGAGAACTTGAATCTGTTATGGTTTTTTTGAGTCATTTTAATTCCCGCTCAATACAATCATCAAAAAAACTGTAAAACTTGGCTTTGGTTGTACTTGGGTAATTAAATTCAATGATATATCCAAAAATAGAGTTATTTTCTTTAAAAAAACTAATAACGGATTCGTGTTCCTCATCCTTGAAAGCCCCTGATTGCAAATTTTCAGCCAAAATCGCCTCAAAAAAGTGAGAAATTCACGAACGGCCATTGTTTGTTCGGTCACGTATCATTGTTTAAAGATTTAAACCAATTTAAAGCTTTAGATTAGCTTCTTATAGATTTCTTAGCAAGTAGTTGAACTTATTTGTTTATCCAAAATTAGCGAATGTTTTTTTGTTGGGTTGAGAAAGAAAAGTGAGTCCTCTTCAGCTCATCTATCCCAGCCTCTCCCCTCTTCCCTTTTTCTTCTCATTGACTTTCATTTCCTCAGTGTGTCAGAAAGAAATGAGAAGATGGAGAAACTAAAAGAGAGAAAGAAAAAGAAATTACATGTCTCGGCTCCATCAATTATCTCCCATCACAACTCGAGGCTGCTCATCTCCTTTTTTGCTCTATCATTTCTATACCCCAGCCTACCTCTCACACATTTTGACCATTCTCCAATGGACCATTTCAAGTGGGTTTTTGTTATATCTAGCAAGGGAAAGGTGAGTCAAGATGGGCTTTGACTCAAGATGGGCTTTGACTCAAGATGGGCTTTGACTCAAGACTAAGTCGAACTCTTATAGAGTTTATTTTAGGAGACCAAGTCGAACTCTTATAGAGTTCATTTTACGAGATTAAGTCGATCTTATAGAGTTCATTTTAGTGTTAAAACTCTATTATTCATTGCAAGTACGTAACGAAAAAGTTTCTAGGAAAACAAAAAAGTTTGGTGAGAGTGGGACTCGAACTTGAGGAAAGAGTGTAATAGGTTCGGTAGTCGAGCAAACTATCCACTAAACCATCGAGGCATTTGTTAGGGAGCGTGTGACGGCTTCGTAAGGACGGAAATTCAATATTCAAGATGATTTTTTATAACAAATATCTCGCCTTTGCGTTCTGCAAAAACTAAAAACAGATTCGAGATCCCCATGGTCGACTCTATAAGATGGAGTTGGTCTCGAGCCAAAAAGCCAGCTTGACAAAGAGCCAGCTTGATTCGGTGCCTTTCTCTTGTAGGAATAAGCTTACAATCTTGAAACTTTTTAAGGATTCTTTTAAATCAAAAACTCAATGCAATATTGTCAGAGAATGTCTTATAATTTAAACT